CGAAAACATGTTAAAAGTACGTGTTTTCGCACTGCAAAAACTGTCAAACTTTATTATGAACCAATCATAATAACCTCGAAAACAGTTAAAGTTTCGCTGTGTTTTCATAAGCATCTCTGTGTTCGATAACTTTTTGTCAAAACAAAATCGATGGTTTGCCGTCACTAGTTGAAAAAAAGAATAAGAACAATAATAAGAAAAAATCTGGATGGAGAAGAAAAAAAGAAATATTTATAAAAAGCGAACTGCTTGGTGCGCACAAAGCGAAGCTTTTCTTTTGGAGCTCTGGGAGGCTTTATTTCACTTGGAGCAATAGAGAAATGTCAACGAAAACGCGTTAGTAAACACGACGAATGCCGTTTGGACGGTTATGTTTAATATTGAAAACATCTCCTGAAAACAACTTGTTTTCATTGCCGTGTAGACATAATATTATATGTGTTTGTACAAAACACCCAAGATTGATTGGTAGGTTGTTTAATCAGTCCCACCAAATCCTATAAAAAAACAATCAGCTGTTCAGCACAAAATGTAAACAAACAAGAAAATGCAACAACAATTTCAAGGAACAAGCAGTAGTGCTGCCAATTGTTTGGTATATTTAAACAAAGTTGATCTGAAACCTAAGTCCCGTGTCAGACACGTCAAGTCTTGCTTTCAAGTCTGTTCGTTCGTAGGCGAAGGAGGTGAGAAGAGAGGGGAAGAGTACAGATACCTCCGTACCGTCAATTCGTTTCAAGTTTTCTTGTCTCTTTTGATCTTTTCGTTGCTTCCCATTTACAGAACCAAGGACTTGAATTCAATTAAACATGACGCCTGTGGAAGCAAATAGAAAACACAAAAGAGAATGCGAAAAAAAATTGCTTTCAAGCTTAACGTATCTGATAGGGGACTAACGAAAGCTAAATGGCATTTAAACAACAATCCACAATTAAACTTTAGTGCCGTTTAAATAATCATTTGAAATTGGCCTTTAATACTATGTCTCCATTGAGAGATTTATCCATTAAGATTTAATAAGTCCAGTTGCTAAATCACAACCGTCTCCATTACCACAACGAGATATGTTTGACGTTCACATTTTCAAATATTTGACGTTTGCTTATGTATGATTTTATAAATACAGTTGCGGACATTGATATACAGACAGATAAAAGGAAGGTACCAAGCGGAATTTCATTATATGAATTCTGAATATTATTGGCTTCTTATTCGTGGTAAATAAGTATGTATAATATATAGTTTGGAAAGTGTAAAGAATGGTACCATATTCCGAATCATATTCCCGAATTTAAGAAAAATTATCAAAACGGTAAAAAACATTTGCGGAAAGAAAATTTTTTGTAGAATTCTCTTATTCATAGGGGGGAACCGAAAATCCAATCGTGGACGTTTGGCATATCATGAATACGAACTGAGTTCTAGAGGATGTTCGGTGCAATGTTATCGAAGCAGAACCATTACCCAAATTTATAAATTTTTTGTCGCAGCACGTAAATGACTTATAGAAAGCGGAGAAGACTCTGCATGATATTACTAGAAAACATTTCTTCTAAATTTTTAGTTTTTAAAATAATATTTTCTTAATTTATTACAACCAAAGTTATGTAAATATGCATTACTAATTTTCCTCCCAAACTAACAAAAATATAAAAATCCCTAAAAATACGAAAATTCATGTTTTTATGATAGGCTAGATTTCAACGTCCTCAACTGTAGTATATTGAAAACACAAATGTCATTTGACCTATGGCATGTGAATTTGTGGTTGCCACATCCAACAAATTGTACTTATTGATCAATATTATTGAAGATTTGACGAAGATTTAACTTAAATCTACTGCCTTTCGAGATTTAATGTTATATGGTAAATCTCAAAAGATTTAACGTAAAATCTCGTCAGAGGGCTAAATCTTCATTAAATCTCACAATGGGTACATAGTATAAAGTTAGTTGTAGCTTTTTGACATAATTTTGGATGGGTTATCTGTCCATAAAGTTACAACCAACGTAAAGTACCAACTTAATTTTGACTATGAATATGCCCCAAACCAGATTTTTTCTTTTTTTTTCAAAATAGGCGACTAACGATAGTTTTAAAAAAATATCGGCCACTATCGATAGTCGCGACTATCAATAGTTTGCCACTACTAGGCTGATATGCGTGTGACAGGCCAACCTAATATTCACGCACGCCGGCAGTTTACTGTCAAAAATTTCTCATGCATATACATCTTGCATTGTATAATTTGAACTTTGAGTCTTAATAACTATTGTAGTCGTTTTTTCCTCAAGAAAAGAAATATACCGTTATACTCACCTCGATGTTCTCTATCGATCCCCGTATGTGTTTTTTAATTTGAGAATCGAAGCTATTCTGCATTTTTTCCAAAATTTTAATTCATTGTCGCGCCAACATGTCAAAGAGCACAGACGTCAAATCGAAATGTCACGCAACACAAATCTTGGAATTTGAGTTAGCTTTTTACGCATGCCGGTCAATTTCGGTTGGTCCCATATAAGATGTATATGCATGAGAAATTTTTGACAGTAAACTGCCGGCGTGCGTGAAAATCTGGTTTGGGGCATATTCATAGTCAAAATTAAGTTGGTACTTTACGTTGGTTGTAACTTTATGGACAGATAACCCATCCAAAATTATGTCAAAAAGCTACAACTAACTTTATACTATGTATCCATTGTGAGATTTAATGAAGATTTAGCCCTCTGACGAGATTTGACGTTAAATCTTTTGAGATTTACGTTTTCTTTAATTTGGGAATCGAAGCTATTCTGCATTTATGCTCAAATTTTGCTCAACTTCTGAAATTGGACAGAAATGCAACTCTGAAAAATCACGCACGCAAATTTATTTCGGTTACTCAAATGTGAAGAACTTGCGTGCGTGCGTAGAAAAATTCACGCCGGTAATATTAGGTTGGCCTGTGAGTACGTAATGAACCAAAAATACAAGATCACGTAAGAACGCGACGTTGTATTTGTATCTGGTTTTGAGAAAAAAGTTTGGGAAAGCGGGTTCGTCAGCTGAGCGTTTGTTTACATCACAAGCACCACTATTTTACATTTTTATTCAAGTAAAGAAGAGTTAATTCAACATGACAACACATTTTAAAGCATTTTGTTGCATCATTTTACCTAAATTGTGCGTTTAAAGTGCCTGACAATAATTTAGGCAAATTTTGGTTTTCGTTGTTTTCTTTGCTTTGTTTACTTTTCGCTCATTTTCCAGTGAAACAAGATGGCGTAGAATCCGCTATTGCCATTTGTGCAAAAAAAATCTGTTATGAAACATTTGTTTGGTGCATTTTCCAAAAGCCTTCTAAAAGTGTAATGGCCCTGTCAGAATGGGTACTGTGCGTAAGTTCCTCTTAAGGATGAAACTGACAGTTGAGTACATGATCCAACTACACTTTTTGAAGCTTTTTGGTATATCATGTCCGCAAGCCACTTAATAGGTGGGTCGTCGTTCTACAAAGGTGTACTTGCTGTTTTGCTGTTAAGGTTCAATAGTAAAGTGTTAAGTAATCAAACGCTAGCAAAAAGCGGATCGCCCTCAACGCAAACCAATGCAATTATAGACTGCTAAATTCGAAGCCATTCTTACAGGTATCGGGATCTAGATTAGTTTATAATGTTGACCAACTCGCAATAATCTGGAAAAGTGCAACCAAGTTTTTTTCTTAACCATACCAGCGTGTTTACTTACCAAAAAGCGTTTAACTATTTCTCAAAGGACCAAGCGATAATACTCACAGCTACGGGAGGCGAGGCGCGGTAGAACTCTCTTGTTCTGCATTTATATCGGCATCCTCCAACAAATCTGCAATAGTCAACTTTGATTGACCTTGACAGGTTTCTTTACCGTGAGTCCGGTTTTTCTTGACGCTCGGAATAGCTCTCCAAAGAAGTTTGCGGTCGCCAGTCCTATAAATTTGAATTTTAGAATGTACTAGTTATATAAGTAAAGCATTTACTTACCCATTTCGACTTTCATATTATTTGCAGTGATTTTGGAGGAAATGCTCGCTGAAAACTTTTGCAGTTATCTCAACGGGCTGACCGCAACAAAAGTGCGCCCACATTTGGACCAAATTCCCGCCCCTCGGAAAGCCATGGAAGCTAACCGATTTATTATTTCCCGACGTATTTTTGCAACCGATTACTGCACACTTCATTTTAATTAAATTTGAATAAATAATGTATTGAAAGTCTCTAAAAAGTCACTTTTGCTATTGAAATAAATCTCCACGAAAATACATATAAGAGATGTAAACAACAAAATAGCAAACATCAAAATTACGAACGTCAAATACTTGACTACTTTTTTCTCAAATAGCTTCTCCTCAACAGGTCAGATCTTTCTAATTGGTTCATGGGTTGAGTAGACTGTAGCTCTGATCCATGAATGAACGACACAAGATCGCGCAAGAACAAGAGAGCGAAAAAAGTCGATTTTTTGAGCGGGTTCTACGCCACCTTTGTTTCGCTGGAAAACGAAAGAAAAGTAAACAAATCAAAGAAAATAACGAAAATCAAAATTATTGTCAGCAGCGTTTAACATACAATTTAGGTAAAATTATGTTGTCATGTTGAATTAACTTATCTTTATTTAAAAAAAAGTGTACAACAATGACGCTTGTGATGTAAACTAATGATCTGCTGACGAACCCGCTTTCGCAAACTTTTTTCTCAAAAATAATTACAAATACAACGTCGCGTTCTAGCATGATCTTGTATTTTTGGTACTTGGCCCTGATCCAGTACTCCATGAACTTACTCCAAAATCCTGTTAAGGAGAGCGATTTGTGTAGAGAATGGGGTTGCAAGATTTAACCCGAACTTATCTTGAAAAGTGTTAAGCCATCATTGTTTGACGTTGGCGTTTCTGTTATATCTTTAGTATAAAACGGGATTTAGGTTACATTTGGATGGGATTTTATTAACGCTGTTACTGGCAACACTGAGTTACTCGCTTGTGGACAATGTGGATTGTATTAAATTTTATAACACGTCTGTTTTATAAAATGACATTTCTCATGTGACAGGAAAATGTTGAGACTGTTGGGACGAGGTTGGTAAGCGATGTACATATTTATTTTTAAATTCTTATTTTCTGCCTTTTTATAGATATATTGAACGCACAACTGCTCATTTTAGATCACCGGTCGTTTACAAATGGAGAAGTAAATAATTTCCTTAATGAATTTGAGTTGAAGCGCAACGAGTGCGAAGTAGAAAATCTTTTCAAAGTGACCGAAATTACAGGCGACCTTAAATACGATTTGTTTGGACGCTGTGATATTTTGAGCACAAGACATTTAGGACAACTTAATCGAGAAGTAAATGATGTATTACTTGGTGTAGAAGAGTTTCTTAACAAAGTCCAATCGGGGAAGAAGGTAGGTATTAACATTACAAGGGCCGAGTTATTGCTAATATCGGGAAAATCGCGCGATTTTTTATTAAAAATTTTCATTATCAAATCATACGTTTTCTACATTTGTGTACTTTTAACTATAATAACACCAGTAAATATTATTTCCCCCGAAAAAAATTATACCGTTATGATCAGGAGTAAGACCCCTATCGATCCTAATATTATTATGTACGTATTGTACACTTATACCCCTAATTATACGCACTTATTTGTGGTGTATTTTTTTTTAACGTATGGTAGCATACATTTAGTTCGCAAACGTGCTAAGTCCACTTTTTATGTAAATTGAGATTTTGATGCAGTAAGATAGCATAACTGAAAATACATCATTATCAAAAAAGAAAATTACCGTAATGTCGTTTTTACTTGTTGTTATGCAAATGTGCCAAGTCCAAAAAAATCAAAAAAAAAATATATGTATATACACGTTTGTCCGTGTACACGAAACTCGAGATATCTCAACGAAATTTGGTATGTAGGTTGCCCTTTATCCAAGGTAAGTTGGTATTAAAAATGGGCGAATCGGAATGTAACCACGCCCATTTCCGATATAAAGGTATTTTCTAAAAATGCAAAAAAATATTTCAGTAAATATTGGATGCAAATTGTTCAAAATTAGTATGTGAAGTAGAATTTTTGTAAAAAATATTATTAGTTTTGGAAAATGGGCGTGACCCCGCCCACCTATTATGAAATCTCAGTAGCCCATTCACCAAACTCGGTACGAGCCTTATTTAGGGTCTAGCTAAGAAATCTGTTAAAAATCGAATTCACTTAAAATCGATGATCGCGATAACCACTCAGCAGAAAATAAGATTATGATACATTTTTGGATAATGGGAATGGCGCCGCCCACTTATGACCACAAATGTGTACCTCGGTAACCGATTTATCAATTTCTACCAAACTCGGTGCACTTAATAAACCTGGTACGGAAAAGCAATTCGCTGAAAATTATTCAAATCGGACCAAAATTACATTCGCTTCCCGTATATCTAACGGTAAATTTCAAAAATACGGAAACTGATATTTCAATAACTGAAGACGCTAATTTACTCCAAGTAAATACTTACAACAATCTCTTAACAATAAATAAGACTGCGTGACACCGCCCACTTTATGACTACAAGGTGTATCTCGGTAGCCAATTTAGCGATTTCTACGAAACGTGGTTCAATTATTTCATTGAGTCTAACCCAGGATATTATCGAAAACGTTTGAAATCGGGAAAAAAGCCCCTGCTTATGACAGTATTTGATACCTGCGCCGGGTATATAAAGTTCGGTTTCGCCCAAACTTATACCTCTTTACTTGCTTTTAATTATTTTCTTTTATAAATGGTACATAAATTTACGACTTAAAATAGTTATTTTTGTTAATAGCAATGATATAAAACTGTATTAGGTTATAATTCCTTTTAAAACAATAAAATATATTTAAACTAAACAATTAAATCTTAACAATAAAAAATAATGGAAAAAAGTTTGATAGAAAATGTGCTAAGTCCACATTAAAAGAATAAAATCTTAAAGAGAAAATGTGGTAAGTCCTAAAAGAGCCTATAAGTCTGCAACAGCTTTATTTGGAAATTGGCCGAATATTGGTACGAAATCAAGACGAACTAAGGAATAAAACTGCATTTACAGATTAGAAAAATATTGAAAACAAAAAAAGTTAGACTGTTTTTTGTCCCTCCTGAAAAATAAAAAAAATGGACTTAGCACGTTTGCGAACTAAGCCAACGCATTGTTATTTCTGCTTGTTTGTGAAATGTGCAAACGTTTGTGAAGACATTTATAAACGCGTTTTACTTAATTAATTAATTAATTAATAATTGTATATTAAGGTATTACAAACGCATGCGAACCTTTTAAGGATAATATATTTGTGTAAATAAAAGTGATAGGTGTGGAGTTATAATAAAATGTGGTGATAGCAGGCGGGATATTTTAACAACAAATAACTTAAGTACTATTAACAACAACATTGTGAAAGTGATAAATATAGTTAAAGGAGACCTCCATTAGTGTCCCCACCGAGTTTCATAAAAAAATCACTATACTTTGCACGGAATAGCAATTGGTTCCGTAATGGAAATCTCAGCCCTAATATCCTAGATCTGTCATGCCCAACGTTGGCAGACTAGCACAAATTAAAGGCCTTCTGCTTTCGCTAGCCATTGAAGGGCTTTTGTATGATGTACTTCATAAGTCCTTTTGGGGGATTCTTCAGAGCCGCTTTAGATCATACTTTAAGGTATGTATTAAAGTTTCGGGCCCGTTGAGACTGAAAAGAAATGAAAGGATAGCGCGGCCCGCCCTTTTTTACTGATTTTACCATGTTTGATGCATGTTAAACGGCTGTGTTAGGAGCGGGTAAAGGTATTTATGAAATCTTACATCCAAAATTTTTCACCCCATTTGGAAATGTAAATAAATAGCCTGTTTTAATGTACCTATATTTCAACCAAATTTATACGGCATAGTCGGGCTATTATGTAGATTGTTTGTGGTAAGTTTCCCCGAATTCGGAAAAGGGGGCGTGGCACCACCCATACCAACAAAAATTGTCATCTGGTATATCTCTTGAAATATTTGTGGTATTACTGGAAATTGGTATAGAGACATATGAAATAATTCCATACTCATGGAGAAAAATGTGCGGTATTGGAAAAGGGGGCGTGGCACCTCCCATTTTAAATAAAAAAATAAGTGCACGAATTCTACCAAATTTAAACGGTATATTCGGACTATCGTGCAGATGGGTTATGCGACGTGTGCCCGAATTCGGTCCAGCGGTTCATGATATATGACAGTTTATGTCCGTCACATGTACCACGTATATGGTAAAACAGCAGCTACATATAAAATCGAAAACATAGTGAAAAATTGTTGCTATGATGTGCTGTGGATGTGATGTGATGTTCTTCGGATAAATTAAGTCACGTATAAATATGGCTGCAATATACTAAAAAAAAAAATTCATATAGAAAAATTCCAGGATTTTTCATTCATTTTTCAATATTTGGTGCAGAGAACCACACCGAGGTACCGCTAGTATTTATATATTTATATATTTATTTTTATTTCAACAGGTGAGCCACTTTTTAAAAAAAATAGATAGAAAAAATTGCTGGCTCGAAATTCATTTTAGACCTATGGTTTCTTAGGCAAAAATTCTTGAAATGACCCAAATTTCCGTTCCCGTTAATTTTTTTTGGGCCCCTACAAATCGACCCGCCCTAATATTTATATACTACCTTGCACACTTTTGGTTTATACACTGCTCAAAGGTTTTTTTTCGTATCATGGATGATGTAAATTTTTTGTTAATTAGGATTTAGTCCAAGGCGAATTTATGCAAGGTGGTGTTGATGGCGAATCTAGATTTCGCCGCGGTACTTCCTAATGTCAAAATTATGTGTTTGTTGTAAACAAGGCGAATTCCTATTACAACAAACACATCATTTTGACATTAAGAAGTACCGAGACGATAATCTAAGTTCGCCATCAACACCACCTTCTATAAATTCGATTTGATTTAGTCAATTTGACCACGTTTTACGCTTCCCGTTCTGTTTTGGGAGACTTCCATGTTTACAGTCTTCTCTTTGGCACTTTGTGGTTGTTGTAGCGGCTACACCGGATTTGCAGTAAATGTTACTTAAGCAGTGTTTGCATTGTTCAACTTTGCGTTCAACTCAACGCAGGGTTGCACGAAAAAAAAGTAATTGGCTAAATGTTGGCTGGCGACCAACTTTGTTGAAAGCGATTAGTTGAAAGGCCGTTCAACCAAAAGTTTAATGCAAAGTTGAACAATGCAAACACCTTTTTATGGCGAATATCTTGATATTTTTTCATATTTTGATATTTTTAGCCACTCAACTTTTTTTTCGTGCAACCCTGCGCTGAGTTGAATGAAAATGTTGAACGTGAAGTTGAACAATGCAAACACACTTTTATAATAAATCCTTGTTGCCAAAATTGCACTAGTCTGAGTCCACGCTCATTTCGGTCTCCTAATCCGAATTTTCCCTTCACATTCGATTTTTCTTCTTTGCCTACTTTTACGTTGAAATCACCCATGATACAAATATTTAAAGGTAGTTTCACTTCTTCTTATCCGCAATCGCTCCCATTTGACGTAAACTGTGCTTTTGACGTTTTCTTTTAAATTGAAGCTACCATGATAAAAAAATAGGAAGGTAGAACCGTTGAGAGGAATTTTTAAAATTCTTGACGTTTGCAAGCAATTTAATTTTAAAATTTTACACACAATTCACACACATTCTCATTTTCAATGTCAAACAACTTTGAGCAATTCCTTTTTATACCTTTCATGAGCATGAAATGGTATTATAACTTTGGTCCGATGTTTGTAAGTACCAGAATAAGAAGAGATAGACCCATTAAAATGTATACTTAAATTATCAGAACGGCGAGCTGAGTCGATTTAGCCATGTCCGTCTGTCCGTCTGTCTGTCTGTCTGTCTGTCTGTCCGTCTGTTTGTATGCAATCTAGTCTCTTAGTTTTCGAGATATCCGGATAAAATTTGGTAGGTGGGTGCATTTTTATAATGTATTAATCATTTGTCGGAACCGGAAGAATCGGACCACTATAACATATAGCTCCCGTACAACTGATTGTTCAGATATGAGATTTTTCGTTATAACTTCTCCATTTATGCAGCTAGACACATGAAATTTTGCAATACTTCCACCCATTATCAACAAAAAACTTAGAGTGAAAATTACAAAGATCGGGTCACTATAACATATAGCTCTCATACAACTTATTGTTCAGATATAAGATTTTTCGTTATAACTCCTCCATTTAAGTAGCTAGACACATGAAATTTTGCACTGTTGTCACTTATTATCAAAAGAATACTTTCAGTGAAAATGACGAAGATCAAGTCGCTACAACCTATATCCACCATACAACTGATTGTTCAGATATGAGATTTTTTGCCATAACTTCTTCATTTATGCAGCTAGGAACATCAAAATTCGCACCGTTTCCACTCATTATTAACAGAATACTTACAGTGAAAATAACAAAGATCGGGCCACTTTT